GGAGTGGATGATTGATTAATGGTGCCGGTTCAGTTTGGGAAGATGAGAAAGTTCTGGAGACGATGGTGGTGATGGTTGCACAACGATGGGAATGTATTTAACAACCACTGAACTGTGCACTTGAAACGGTCAACATGATAAACGTCATGTTATATGATTCATCTCGGACGCCCCCGCACCATCCACACCACACCCCCAGCGCTGGGGCTCCTGGAAGGGTCCCTGGTCTCGCAGGAGCAGCAAATACAGCCTCCGTGCCGGGCACAGGGGTGCCGCCGGCCTGTGGGGTGCGGGGTCCGGGGAATTTGGCCTGTCCTGAGTTGTTTCATGTTTTTATTTTTTCCAATGAGTCAGAAAAGTGAAGATCAACTGGAGAAGCTGCACTTTCTGGAAATTCCGGCAGAACCAGCGCCAGGCCCCAGGGCAGTGCAGGGGGGTGGGGAGTGGGGAGCAGGCTCCATTGTTTGCCCGGCAAGCAGCTGGGTTCTCTCCCCTGAACCGCAGGTCAGGAATGCTCACAGCTGCAGACTCGCCCTCCGCCCCCACCCACCGGGTGGGAGCCAAGCGGGGGGAGGGCGGCTGGGCTGGGGCCTGGGGACAGAGCCGGGCCAGGGGAGGAGGGGGCAGGAAACGCCCCCAGTTGTTTTTGCACAGAAAACGGAGCCAGAGCTGGTATTTCAGCTCCGGGAGCTGAGCTCCAGCCCAGCCCCACCTGCTCAGAGCGCTCGGGGAGGGCAGTCCTCAGGGGAACAGGGGCACCCAGGGCTCAGCAGCCGGCAGGGGCTCCTGCTGCCAGGGTCTCCGGGGGTCTGTCTGGTCTTCCCGTCCAGGCCTTGCCCCTCGGGGGGCTCCCTGGGCTGGGACAGCAATCACCACTTCACTAGGTGGGGGAACTGGGGCCCAGACTGGCACTGGGGGGCCTCCCCCTGCTCCAGCTGCCAACGAGTTAGGTCTGATTTGTTTGTTAATCCTCACCCAAGGTTATTATTTCCACTGATTTTTTAAATTCTTTTAATTTTTTTTTTTTTTTTAGAGAGGAAGGGAGAGGGATAGAGATAAAAACATGGAGAGACCCCCCCTACTGAGGATCGACAGGGAATTGAACTGGTGACCTCTTGGTTCCTGGGTCAATGCTCAACTGCTGGGCCACACCGGACCGACTCCATTGATTTTTAGAGAGACTGGAAGGGAGGGAGGGAGGGAGGGAGGGAGAGAGTGGAAGTGACAGAATTCTGCATTTCAGAAAAGACCCAGCTTGGAAGGAAACGAGCAGACCTGCCACGGCATGACCAGGGCAGCTGCCACCATCTGTCCGGCGGTTCATCTGGAGCAGCCACCAGCTGTGCGCCCAGGTCAGGCATAAGGGAAGGGCTTTTTTTCACATCTCCGCGGCCTAAACTAAACCTCGTATCCAATGTCGCTGAGGAAGAAATGCAGGATTGCCGAGAAAACTCACACAGCCAAAACTCTCAAGGCATTGGCCTCCAATTACAGAACTCACTTGTACGACTTTTAAAGGGCCCCCTGCATAAGAATGCAGAGACAGGGGCCGGGAGCCACTGCATGGAGGTGACGTCAGCGCTGGGCCCCCTTCCCACGCGGGAAGCGGAGGTGGCGTCAGCGCTGGGCCCTCTTCCGGCCTGAGGCGCATAAAGATCGGGTCGCTGGGGGGCAGGCCGCCTGCAGCGCTGAGGGATGTCGCACGGGGTTCGCAGCCCCAGCTGAGCCCAACGCCCCTGTGTCTGCCGTCACAGGGAGATCTCTGCCCCCTGGGGCGGAGACACCCAGCCCCTCCCCAAGCTGAAGCTGCAGGTGTTGAGGTACCAGCTAGATGCCTTCTCACAAAGGACCGGTGGTGGCACAGGGCAGCGGGGCTCCTGCCAGTAACAGGGAGACTGACACGGTGGAGCTGGCCAAACTGGGACCCCTGCTAGAAGAGAAGGGCAAACCGGGAATCGCTGTCCCAGCCAAAGCTGAAGCAGAGCAAGCCAGCCCAGTGCCCCAGGAGGAGGAGGAGGAAGAAGAAGAAAGGGAGGAGGAGGAGAAGGAGGAAGAGCGGGAAGAGGAGATGAGGGTCCTGACACTTCCCCTGCAAGCATACCGTGCCATGGAGAAGATGGAGGAGTTTGTGTATAAGGTCTGGGAGGGCCGCTGGAGGGTCATCCCATACAGTGTGCTCCCTGACTGGCTGAAGGACAACGATTACCTGCTTGACGGCCACAGGCCCCCCATGCCCTCCTTCCGGGCCTGTTTCAGGAGCATCTTCCGCATCCACACAGAGACTGGCAATATCTGGACCCATCTGCTTGGATTTGTGCTGTTTCTGTTTCTGGGAATCTTGACCCTGCTGAGGCCAAACATGTACTTCATGGCCCCCCTGCAGGAGAAGGTGGTGTTTGGGATGTTCTTCCTGAGCACGGTGCTCTGCCTCAGCTTCTCCTGGCTCTTTCACACTGTCTACTGTCACTCAGAGAAAGTCTCTCAGACTTTTTCCAAACTGGATTACTCAGGGATTGCCATACTGATTATGGGGAGCTTTGTCCCCTGGCTCTATTACTCCTTCTACTGCTCCCCACAGTCACGGCTCATCTACCTCTCCATCATCTGTGTCCTGGGCATTTCCGCCATCATTGTGGCACAGTGGGACCGGTTTGCCATGCCTCAACACCGGCAGACAAGAGCAGGGGTGTTCCTGGGCCTGGGCTTGAGCGGCGTTGTGCCTACCATGCACTTTACGATCTCCGAGGGCTTTGTCAAGGCCACCACCGTGGGCCAGATGGGCTGGTTCTTCCTCATGGCCGTGATGTACATCACCGGGGCTGGCCTCTTTGCTGCTCGAATTCCTGAGCGCTTCTGTCCTGGAAAGTTTGACATATGGTTCCAGTCACATCAGATTTTTCACGTCCTGGTGGTGGCAGCAGCCTTTGTCCACTTCTACGGGGTCTTCAACCTTCAGGAATTCCGCTACAGCCTGAAAGGCAGCTGTACTGATGACTCTCTTCTCTGAGCCTCCCCCCCAAGGCTGGAGGGTAACTTCCCAAGTGCTTTAAAAAATAACTTCTTTGCTGAAGTGAAAGGAAGCGTCTGAGTTGTCTGTTTCTAGAAGAAACCTCTTAGAGAATTCAGTGCCAGCCAGGCTTCAGCCCACCTTCCCACCTCAGGGCGGGGGGACAAGCTTTCCGTGTCCCTCGCCCAGGAAAGGGTGATCCACCTGGCCATGCCCCTCCTTAGCAGCCCTCCTCAGCAAGGCAACTCTGTCCCTTTGGCACAGAGTGCTTTGAAGCTCATGTTGAGATTTTATCCCTCCTCCAACCATTTTGGGGAAAAATGATGGACTGGGATTCTTTAGAAATTCTATTTCTGAAAAAAAATGTCCCTCCCTTACCCCCATCCTTACTTTGTAACCTGGCTTAGAATAGGCCATCCATTTTGTAGCATACTTTTCAGAAACGATTGTAACCTGTCCCGTCTTTCTGGGGCCTGGATCTGCTGACAGCAGGACGAAGTCACCAACTTTGAGACATCCAGCTAATCATGGAAGTGTGTCCAGGCTTCAGATAACTTGAGTTTTAATTTTTTTTCTTGGCAGAGTAATGTAAAATTATCATTGCTATGTATTCTGATGCAAAGGCTATGATGATAATAAAAGGAAGTGCAGAAAAAAAAAAGAATGCAGAGCGCGCTAAGCACATCCTGAACCCCGCCCCCTGCCCCACCCCTCTTTCCTCCCTGCTCAAACCTCATCAAGTTCTAGTGTGAGGCAGTGCACAGGCCAAGCATTCCATTCACGTCTGCAATCACCTTAGTCCACAGGCTCTCCCATAAGAAGTCCTCAGAGCCTGAAGTAAACCCCATGCTCCGAGGGGCCCAGAGGTCTGGGTACCCTTGGTGCTTGTCCGAGGCTTAATTATGTTCTAAGGCAGCGGTTCTCAACCTGTGGGTCTCGACTCCTTTGGTGGTTGAATGACCCTTTCACGGGGGTCGCCTAAGACCATCCTGCATATCAGATATTTACATTACGATTCATAACAGTAGCAACATTACAGTTATGAAGTAGCAACAAAAATAATTTTATGGTTGGGTCACAACATGAGGAACTGTATTTAAAGGGCCAGAAGGTTGAGAACCACTGTAAGGAGTAACCTGGCTGAGATGTGTCACCTGTGGCCACCTCAGTCCGTCTCCTATGCCAAGAGCTAGATGAAAACTGGGAGCTGGCATCTACCCCATGCTGGATCCTTGGCATTCCTGTCTGTTATGTACAACTGAACCCCAAGTGAAGGATGTAGAGTATTTAGAACTTGTCTCTTTAAATTTTCTAAACATTAGTTTCAGGTCTTGTCAGCTTGACAGAATTTGTGCCAAGGACTCTAACCTGAATTGGGAGTGCTGCCTGAAAGCCCTGCACACCAACACAAATTATCCAGCGTGTTCACTGCTGATGCCGGTTCCACTCAGCAAATGAACTGCATCAATGGAATGTAGATAAATGATACCCTGACTCTTCACAATGATGGAAAGTTTCTTAAACTTACCCAGTACCCCCTGACAAGAGTTTTCCCATCTTGTAGTGATGATTACTCATTCCTCAGAAGTTCCTACTGAGTATCTACTGGGGGCAGGCACTATGCTCCATACGGAGGATGGAGGAGCAGCTGCAGCCCCTCTCATGGGATTATGGCAAAGACAAAAGCCAAGACTCAGGGAGAGTTGACTAATAGTGGTAAGGTAGGAAAAGGAAGATGGTGACCCCATGTTATCATTCATTATGGACCATCCCCCATTTTGTGCTTGTTAAAAAATTTGCACACATATGTCCTCACCAAGTCACTGAGAACTTATTCTGGCTGCTATGAATTTATCAATCAATAGTTGCAGGATACGACTGAGGGATCAGTTTAGAATACAACCAATTTTTTTGGCATCCAGTCCAAATCTGTCTAGTTCAGGAGGCTTTCATGAGAAATTTTAGCAAATTATCTCTACTATTCATATATGTGACAATATCAATTGTCCTTTTTCCTCATGTTTAATATGTGGAAACTGAACTAAGAGAACTCTAGTTCATCCAGCTGTAATATTTTACAATTATATCTATTCTGTTATAGTACTGCATACATAGGTTTTCATCATGTTCCATAAATTCATTCATTCAGCCAACTCATATATAGACATTCATTCTGTCCAGGTACAAATCTATGTACTGAAGATACAGTGGAAAACAAGAATAATAAGTTCCTACTTTGGTGGAGTTCACTCTAGAGCAACTAGGAGGTATGAATGGAGATGCAAATAAATAAATATATTTTCAGGGAGTGGTAGATGCTTGAAAAAAAGTGGATGACTCTAGAGGAATTATTTGGGTGATGAGTATATGGGTGGTGTGAGGAAGCTCTGCAGATGTCACATGAGCAGAGTCATAGGGAAGCTACTGTTGTCTATCAGAGGGTTTGACGTTGGTGAGTATATACATATCAGCCTAGTTGTAAGTGAAGAATTAGCTGTAGAGGTCTGAGTGGGAAGCAGGAAGATCCACCAGGAAGTGCTATGGTTTTCCAGGCAAGAAACGAGGTGGCTTTGCCGCAGTGGAGGTGGAGAGAAAGTGAGGAATTCAGGATATAATTTGGAGAAAGAGCTGAGAGGACTTGAAGAATAAAGGGTGACACAAATGTTCCCGGCTTGAGCAATTACATGGGTGGTGGGTCTATTTATTGAGATTGGAAAGACTGGAATGAGGGTTCTGTTTGGCCACACTGCATTTGAAAGACGTATTGGACATCCAAGTACAATCTCAACAAGGGAGCTGGATATCTGAATCTAGAACTTGGTGGGAAGGTCAGAGGTAGTGACACAGATCACATAGAGATGATTTAATTCCACATTTCCAGCACAGCTGACTGAGAGTGGCCATGGGCTACTTGTGGTTACTCAAATTTAATTAAAATGAACTAAAGTTAGATTCAGTCCCTCCGTCACAGTAGCCACATCTCAAATGCTCAGTAGCCACATGTGCCCGGCAGCTAGAGGGCTGCATGGTGCAGACACCATTCCCATCACTGCAGCGAGTTCTCGTGCCGAACTCTGCTCTAAACCTCTTTACAATAGTTTACCACCATTGATTTCCCTTGTCTCGTAAGGTATGTGTGAGAGAGAATTGGGGAAATAACAAAACCATGCATTTCCCCACTTGGTTTCATTTGTTTCATTCATAACTTAGACATGTAACAACCATTGTTCCTGCTCCTTTGCCCAAATTCTTCAGGTTCGTGTTTATAAACTGTTCCTAATAATTTTCAACTGAAGAGATCAGAGGTCTTCATAACTTTTTGGAAGGTAATTATCCCAAGGTTTTCCATTGTTCTTTCATTCCAAGTTGCCTTACCATCCCTTTTAAAAAGGGGATGGGAGTCTGACCGGCGTGGCTCAGTGGTTGAGCGTTGACCTATGAACCAGGAGGTCGAGGTTTGATTCCCAGTCAGGGCACATGCCTGGGTTTCGGGCTCAATCCCCAGTAGGGGGCATGCAGGAGGCATCCCATCAATGATTCTCTCTCATCATTGATGTTTCTATATCCTCTCTCCCTCTCCCTTCCTCTCTGAAATCAATAAAAAATATTTAAAAAACGAGAGGGGGCGTGTGATGGGAACCAAAGGGATATCTTCCAGCCTGCTGAAGGCAGCAGAGCCCTCGCTCTGCACACTCTCCCCCCTCCTCCCCGCAGACGCCAGAGCAGCAGTGATGGAACGAAAAGCCAACTGTGCAAACATTCGCTTCCACTGTCACAAGGTACACAGCAAACATGCCAAAAAGGAGAGCTTGGAAAAACAGCAAAAGAGAGCAATTATTCCCCGAAGAGAACATGAAATAAGAACCTACAGTGACCCCACAAAGGAAATGGAAAATCCGATCCAGCCACAGGTCAGAGAACACCACTGTGTTTTGGGGTAATGATTACAAAGGGAAAACAGGGTTTGGGCACTGTGAGATCCCAGGACTCCAGCGTGGGCCTCCCAGGGTGGCACATTCTGTAATTCAATTAAATCCTTTGGAAGAACAAGACTCATGTCTCCTAGAGTAACCCGATTCTCCGGACAACCCCAAGCTCACATGAAACTTCTGACAACAACCCTTCTACGTGGTGGGTCTGCGGTGTTGCATCAGACGCAAGAAGCCCACGTGAAACGAGGAAACTGAAAGATGGCTGCGAAGAAGACCATCTTTTCAGTGATAAAACCGCCAAGAAGCGGAGTGATCTGGGTGCATTTCATTTATGGGAGATACAGATATGGAAGTCTTGTTCTCCACTTAATTTTTTTCAGGGGTGCCTTCTTCATCAAAGAGGAAACTACTGGTTCAAGTTTGTTTAATGGCACAAACTATTACTGCTTCATGGCAGCCCAAAGGACAAGAAGGGCGTGACGCGCAGTTATCTCCCCCAAACTTTCTCTCTCAAAAAGCCAGCGATAGCTCTCCACTCCAAACATGTCATCGGGCGCTCATGTCCCTCTGTGGCCTGAGCCCTGGGGAAGCTTCCCAGCCCCTTCTCTGCTGCATCTCTGCACAGCCTCTGTGTGGTGACTCCCTGGGCAGAGGTCACACCAGGCGGGCTGAGCTCCTTGGGAAGAGGGGCTGTTAGGAAGGCACCTCGCCCTCAGGATGTTGGAGTACAAGGCCAGTGGCCAAGTGGAAGCTGAATCATGGAAGGGACAGGGGAACAGGGAGCAGGCATGCGCCCAGTCACCCACCCAGCGGTGCAGTGGCAGGAATGAGGACAGGGACAGTGGGTCACCAGGGGGCTAGACTCTGGAATACTGGTTCCTGAAGCAGGCTGGGAAGACTGTGCATCTGTGGATGCATTCTTGGCAGTCCATGAGAATTTTCAAACTTTATGTTCTCAGGTCAATGAAAATCTTAGTCTACATTAATGTAAGTGTAACTTGGGTGGTCTGGATCAGCCGCTATAACCTAGATTTCTGAGTCCACGCCACATCTAGATTTGCACTTGCAAAGACCAAAGGTCACTGTGAAAGGCCACACATATGGTGGTTTGAAAGAAGCAGGAGAACTGAGGTACCACATTGTACAGTGATTGAGCCTGGTGTCAGGCTGAGTGCACAAGCGTGTGCCTGTGGTTTCTGTAAGACCAGCTCACTAGCAGAAGAGCACTAGGAAACAAGCAATAATGTAGGTTCCTTGTCTCAT